AACATATCTTATCGCAATTGTACACAATGTCTTACAACACTTCAACTATACTCAACACAAGTTATCAAGGAATCAAACTTTAGAAGAAGAAGAAAAAGTTCTACTAGAATTCCCAACCAACAATACAGCACAAGAGGAGAATACAAAGACAAACTACTCCCAAGAAAGCAGTATTAAAGTTAAAATAGAACCTTCTTTAATGAAACACCTAATCCTACATCCAAATGTGTTCTCTAAAGCAACTAATATCGATATAGAATATAAGAGTAAACTCAAGATAGTGCTAAATAAAAATGAAGTTAAAGTGGAGCCACTCCCAATGGAAACTACTCCAGCAACACCATCTATTGAAACTAAGAATACTGTTAACAATATAGAATTAGAATTACAGGACAACCCTTGTAAGAGAAATATAGCAAAACAAGAAGTACCAACACTTACCCAAAAGACTACCAGGAACTAGTTAAAAATATACTAGTTAAAAAAAAGTGTAGCATCTTTGATTACGGACTTGAAGAACTCATAAAAGAGGAACTGCAAATGGATGCAAAATTAGCTAAACAATTAAGTTACAAGAGATCTAAACAATATGAAAACATATACAACTCAGTTTGGGCTCTGGAAAACAAGATCTCGTATCCAAAAGTTCCTGATTCACCTACTTTTTTTTTTATGATTTGGGACCTTCCAAAAGATATGAAGGTATCAGTAATAAAGTCTTACCTGAACGTCTTCAGTACAGCAACTGTTATCGTATAGCAACAGAATTTTAGAACAAAAGTAGCATATATTAAAATAATACCAAACTTAGAACAAAGAAAAAAATCTTTAAAAGAAGGGTGGTCAATTCATTTAGAACAAGGTAAAACGTACAGAACCACACTAGGCAAGTTCAATATTGCTGAAATAGAACCAAGAAACAATTACAAAGGCACTATTTCAAATATTCCAATATTAGCATATGATAGCCTTCTTTTATAGCAATTTAAAAAATATAGAGTTCAAGCAGTATCCCTTAAGCTGTAGAGTTTGTGTAACAATTTTAGCTTAAAAATAGCATAAATTTAGTTATGATCTATTTTTTT